CCTCCTCCTCCTCCTTGACCTCCTCCTGCTCCTCCTCCTCGTCCGCCTCCCCCCCCGCCTCCTCCTCCTCCTCCTCCTCCTCCTCCTCCTCCTCCATTTCCTCCTCCTCCTCCTCCTCCTCCATGTCCTCCTCCTCTTCCTCCGCCTCTCTCTGTCCCTTCCTCTCCCTCCCCCCCATCCTCCTCCTCGTCATCCCTTTGTTCTCCTTCTCTTTCTCTTCCGCCTCCTCCTCCTCCTCCTCTTCCTCCTCCTCCCCATCCTCCTCCTCCTCCTCACTCCTCCTCCTCCTCCTCCTCCTCCTCCTCCTCCTCCTCCTCCTCCTCCTCCTCCTCCTCCTGTTCTCCTCCTCTTCTCCTCCTCTTCTCCTCCTCCTCCTCCTCCTCCTCCTCCTCCTCCTCCTCCTCCTCCAGCCCTTCTGGCTCTAGCCTTTTTGGCGGAGCTTGTCGGCAGCGAACTTCAGGAGGGGCGTTGCTGTCGCGAGTCAACACTGGCTCGGTGCTGGCTCGGCGCGCGCATGGCCCCCACGCGCTGCACCAGTCCGCCATGCGAAGTGGCGTTGCGGGGCATGTGGATGCGCCCGCAACATGGGCTGGATGTGGTACTGCAAGCACTGCAAGGCGCAGTGGGACGGCGCCACGTGCTCGGTCGTGGCGGCTCCTCCACGGCCTGATGCCTCGGGTGGTGCTGATGATGCTCGGCCTCCTGCTGCTGGGGTTCAACCTGGCGCTCCGCTTCCTCCAGGCCCCGCGGGCGCTGGTGGAGGACAACGGGCTGGTGGCATCAACACGGAGGGCATCAGCGAGGAGGACCTGCAGCAGCTGGCCGCCATCGCCACTCGTCAGGGGCAGCCCGAGCTGGCGAAGCAGTATGAGGCAGCCCGTGCCAAGCTGCTGCAGCCTGCCCGTGCGCAGCCAGAGGCTTCGTTGCACACTCGTGCCTCGCAAGCCCAGAGCAAGATCAGACAGGTTGAAAAGAAGCTGGACAAGGATATTACGAAGCTGGAGCGCTGGCGTGAAGCAACGGCTACGTTGGAGGCCTCCATCCCGGAGTTGGCGGACGAGTTGGACGGCTACGAGAAGCAGTACTCGGAGCTGGTGTAGCAGATCAGCCTGGAGGTGGCCCCGCCGCCGCAGACCAAGCAGGTGTCTGGCCCGACCATCAGCCTTCGCGATCTGGTGGAGGGCAAGAAGCTCAGCTTCGAGCTTGAGGACGACCTCTGCGCTGACCTGCCTGAGGTCTATGAGATGTCCACTGAAGACAAAGAACCAATGGAGGCCAGGAAGACGCAGCTGCGCGTTGGCCTCAAGGAAATGGCGAAGCAGCTCTTCGGCAACGCGTCGGCCCACTTCGAGACCGCGAGGAAGGAGCACCAGGAGCAGCTCAAGCGCATGGCCAAGAAGAGGAGCAGGACCTCGTCGGAGGGTGCGGCAACTCCTGGTGAAGGGCCTGCAGCTGCGGAACCTGTACCAGGGAGTGAAGCTGCGCCACCTGGAGGTGCTCGAGGTACTTCTTCTGAGGCTGGTGGTGGAGCCCCAGCCGCCGCCGCTGGCAAGGCCTCGGGGAGTACTGAGTCTGGCGCGTCAGGCCCCTCGAGGCCTGCTGGAGCTGACCCAGCTCTCCGAGCCAGGCTTTCTCGGGCACTCCGCAAGCCAGGTGCATCCTTTCCCACCCCACTCTACGACGACGGCATCCTCATGCTGCACGAGAGTGCGGTGTCTCAGAGAGTCTGCTGGTGGCGATGACGGACAAGCTGGCCTGCCTCTCCATTCATGTGGATGATCTTCTTTCCCAGGCTCGTGAGCGATACTGAACTTTCTTCGAGGCCTGCTGGAGGCGCAGTGAAGCGACAGAAGCTAGCCTTCACACACAACGGAGCTCAGTACAGCAGGTTGGCCAATGACGCCATAGTGATTCAGCAGCTGGACCATCTCAAGACCATCAAGCCATGCGAGATCCCGAACTTGAATGATGACAAGTTGGTCTCAGCTCAGCACGCCCGTGGTTTCAGAAGTATCTTGACTAGTATGTTGCTCTTGTGTCAGTGCAACGTGCATATCTTGACAGAGGCTACTCAGCTGCAGGGTTTCAACAATGAGCCGAAGGTGATGCACTTAAAGCGAGCGAATGCAGTCTTGAAGAAGGCTCAGAATGATAATCAATTCCTTGGTCTCCACTTCCCTCGTCTCGATGGACCTTACTGTCTCAGAGCGATCGGCGATGCAAATTATACTACTAAGACGAGCGTGTATCCTCAAGAGGGCCAGGTGATTGTATTTATGCAAGACAAACCAATCATATTGCAGCCCAAGACGGACATCCTGGAGGATAATATATGTTTGAGCGGATTGTGACATCCGATGGCGAATATTTCGAACAAGGCGAAGAAAGTGGCTCACTCTACCAGCATGGGAGAAACAAATTGTGCCCTAAGTGTTGTGAGCAATGCTCATATGATAGCTCTCAGGATCACCGAGATGCAGATGGAACAGAGTCTCTCACA